ATTAACTAAATAAAAATTTAGCTTAGAATTATATTTCAATATCTTTTCAAATAATTTCTTCTCAGTAAATTGTTCTTTTCGATTTATATCTTTAGTGTATATGTTTATAGAATTTAGCTGTACACTACTAGTATTGTAGTGAAGAAGAACACAGCTAAGGGCAACCGATTTGTATTTACGAAAATTACAGAGTTACTCAGTAAAATCGGAACACCATATAGTAAATCGTTCATTTGCAAAAGATCAGTTCATCCTGTGGAACTGGACTGTTTCTGTTGCCAAACATCAATCCATTGTCACTATTCATGCGTTTCATACAAATTCCATTGTGTTCTTCTAACTCTTCCTTTCTTGATCTTCCCTCATCTTCTGCTGCCAGACATTACGTTGACACTCACGTCATATACTACTTATAAGTAGCTCGCACCACAGTATAATAACTTGATTGTATGGAAATAGATATACATCATCTAAGAAAAGTTTACTTACTCAAAAGTATCTGGTTACTGTTCACTGTCTACAGTAGTCATGAAAAGAAATATTGAACAATATCAATTTTTGACAGTAGAAATCAAAACCTGATCTTAGCTAGATCACCTTCAGAAACCTAGAAAAACTAGTCAGCTTCTATGTCCTAGTAGGAGACTCTTAAGGAATGTGCATCCACGACGGAAAGCGAACCCGAAACCTTCACTCTGGTGCATGAACTCTTAAATTCTGGACAACTGAGTTGTCAGTCAACATGACTGCGATGATAATTGTTGACTATTCATATCGTTATCGAGCTTTTCGATTTACTACGTCAAGATAAAATATGTTTTCCGGTTAGCGTTCTGTTAGCAAGCTTGTTTATCATGGCATGTGGTTGCTTATCTTATGCTTAATCCTAGCCATTCTCTGTGTTCGGCACCGGCAGTAACCTAAGAAGGGCTTATGACGAATTTCTCCTAGTGTGAAAGGCGGATCCTTCGCCGTTGTCAGAGTGTAGCGTTGTTTTTACCGAAGCTAATATTTTCTATCCAGCATGTGTTCAATGAGTTTCACTTGTTCCAAGTACCTCCATGTTGAATCTTTTTATTTCTGCAGCAACCTAATTGCTTCTCCCCGTCTTTCACATCTAAAAAATCACGGAATACATTGGACAGCTAGGATGCAGCTAGACGACTTGGACTACGCAGACGACCCACCTCTTCTAATCAAAACACATCAATAAATAACGGAAAAGAAGGCAAATGCAGCAATAGCCTCTGTAATCATAGGTCTCGACATACACAAGGAAAGAATTAAGATCCTTAAATACAACGCAACATACACCAACAAAATCACCCTTGATGGCGAAACTGTAGAAGATGTAGCAACCTTTACATAACTGGACAGGTTTATTGATAAAAAAGGTGGATCTAATTCAGATGTGATAAAACAGATTGGGAAAATGAGGGCAGCATTTCTGAAGAATATCTAAGACTCAAAACAACTGTCTACTAACACCACAGTAAAAGTTGTCAATACAAACGTCAAGACATTTGTGTTGTATGGAGTGGAAAGTATGAAAACTACGACATCTGTCATCTAAAAGATACAGGTGTTTATTAACAGTTATCTATGCAAGTCCCTGTGGATCCTTTGCCAGTAACCATCAGCATTAACCTTTTGTGGGAGAGAGCAAACCAGATTTCAGCGGTGTAATAAATTAGGAAAAAGCCCTTAAGATGAATAGGACTCACCTTGCCGAAATCACCGAACAACATCACGAGACAAGTTTTAAATCGGAATCCTCAAGGCGGAAGGAAAAATGGCAGGTCGAAGAACACAGTACGCTGAGAATTGGAGGTAGATATGAAAACAATGAGTGACTCCTGGCAGCAGTTGGAGAGGAGAGCGAAAGATAGAGTTAGTTGGAGAATACTGGTTGATGGCCAGTGCTCAATGAGGGTAAACAGGCGAACGTAAGTAAGTGAGTAAGTTATTTATTATTTGCTACTAATAATATTAGTGGTCCCATTTTGAGAAAAGCTTAACTGTCGATCAGAAAAATATATACCAAACCATGAGTTTCCACAGTAAAGACAAATAAAAGAAAATTATATGATTTCTTGTACAAGTAAATTTCGATCTATCCGCTAATGTCTTCTAGTCAATTTCAACACTGATTTTAACTTTATCGATTATTTATTATCAATAACACGATTTTAAGGCAGAATACTAAATTTAAAGTTTCACATCATAGACTAATGTTAGTTCGATAAGTACTGAAAACTAGAAATTACTAAATAGCTGTTTCATCCTAAGTATAGAATTCTTTAGAAATCTAAACCAACAACATTCTAGTAAGAACCAGAAAACCTATAGGTCCTAACAGTGAGAAGCTGGACTTTTGCATTCTGAATTAACATTTAATTGCTTGCATTGCTAATGTATGTGATTACTTTTATATGATAAGTTGATATTGATGAATGAAATGTAGAGATATTTATGGTGAACATAAAATTTTTCTGTAGTTTTCTTGAAAATCAGTGGAAATTTAAAGATTGTTCGTACTTGAATCTTCTCGTTGATCAATTTATTTTGGCATATGTGTATTCTGTGTAGATTAACTCGATTAGATCAGCAGTATTACAGGTGGAGATGGATTATGGCTAGCAGTTAAACCCAGGATGCACGTTTCATCCTATTTGTCACTCATTTTGAAGTGGAAGTACCTGCATTCTGGAGTTGAAATTTACTCCATGTCTCAAAACCAGTACCATTCACCTCAATTGCCATTACGTTAACTACTTAGGTACTGAGTTCAAATAGCCACTGACTACTGCAATGGGGTAATCGATTTGAGCTCTAAATATCAATGAAGCGATTCAGGCAACCAATGTTTGTGAATTAAACTTCATCCTATTGCATAAGAATATTAGAAGTTCAATGAGTGAAGTTAACTGTTTACACAATTTACTCTTATTTTTGTAAGAAAACTAATGATAATTTTAAAAAAAATATTTCTTAATAAGTTTAGCTATTATTGTTTTCAGTTAGGAATCTTTTAACAACTAACCATAACATTAAGTAGTACTCAGTAAATCTTTGTTAGAGACGCTAGATCTACAGAAATCACTTGAGGAAACTCTGAATTTTGTAATTTATCTTTGGAAATTCGGATTTCTTATTTCCACACTAATAATCGTCCGTTATTACCTTCACTTTGGAAGAACCTTAAACATCATTGGTTAGTTTCCGCTATTTCGTAACTTTTCCAAGGACGCTTTGAAATTCATATATTACGCTTGAACTGAATGCTTATTACTTCATTTTCTTGTGGCTGCATGTGGATTTCACATTTCTTCCTACTGATTTCTGACTTCTTTCTCTAATTAGCTGAGCTGGACGAGAGAGAATAGCCTAGGTGTTCTGTTATTGTGTGATTGGTTATCATTCTATTCGTCAGTATCAAGTTGTATCTCACTTATCGCAAACATGTCAATACTGATAGTTGTCGTCATCTTAGGTCTATATATTGCAACTTGAACAGATTTAGAACTGTAATATTGGACGAAAGGCCAAAAGTACACGGAGAGTATTTACCTCTTTAATACTGAGGATATGCCTGATTGTTAAGTTACAACTGTTAGTTAGGGGAGAAAATAATTAAGAGCAATAAAACTCTGAAAAACTCTATTCAACGACGAATCATTATCTATATTTTCACTACATGTTTATCACATATTTGGTCAACGACATTTTTCACGTTGATCTTATTGCATACTTTCATCTCATTTATTAACTGTGAATGTATTTGTTTTTCTAAACACAAAATTAACATCAATCAGTTATAAGCACACTGTTCAGTATCAACCAGTTATGTTGAAATTTCGATTTATTATCTAAACTAGGTTGAGTTTTTGAGTCAGCTAAATCTGATTGTCGCCTTAGAATTCAGATTGGCCACTGACGACAACGAAGTGGTTGTGAGAGCCAGTAAGATCCATGACTCATGATCGTTGTCTATGGGAATTCGTATCACCTATTAAATATATTGTCATTAGTTATACTAGTGTGAAGAGTGAATACATAACACCTACATCACAAAATCTAGATGGTTATTCTCATGCACCTAAGTTGAATTTTCATGTTGAACGTGTTTAATTTAAGTCTCTCTTCATTTACCTGGATGATGTATTAATAAAGTGTAACAAAATGCTACATTAGTTAGATATACTGGCAAAAGGTATGAAATTGCATTTGAAATTATACATCAAAACACTAATTCAATATCACAACTAAACATCTCTTATTACCCAATCTATTGTTTTAAAAATCGTCAAATAACATAAATAACTTGTAAATAACCCGAACTAATGCTATCTAATAATGAATTTCAAAACTTACTGACCGAATTCAAATAGATTGTTAGAAATTATCAATCTTTTAACACTCCTTGTGTAGATAAAACGGTTAAACAATGTTACATATAGTCTATAGTTTTCCATCATAGAGTTATGCAGATTGTTGAGTTCCACTGAAATCAAGAACCAAACAATGTTAGACCATTATTAAAAATAAAACTGGAAGCACCAGACCGTCGTTTCGTCCTAGTATGACACTCATTAGCAGTGCATATCCACGACACTCGCGAGCGGAAATCGAACCCAAGACCTTCGGTCTGATGCACGAACGCTAAGTCTCTAACCCCCCGTATCTGATATCCAAGAATGTCAATGTCTAATTTCAATCAGTCCAGGCTATTTTTTTCCGTCAAACTTCAACAGAAACACAATATTCAATAACTAATTTTGTCTTCCATAAAAACAAAACAGCTAATAAAAAAAAAACACAAGACTTTACATGTTGAATCAATTTGTTAATTATATTACATACACATGCATAAAAATAATTACAGAAATCTAATTTAATTTAATTTTCTTTATCAATCAATTGTCAATTGAATTCATGTAATAATAATAAGGACCAAATATCATACTAAATTTTTTATGTTTTTATATTTTAACAAAATATTATTTGATATGTAAAAGTTTTTGAAATGCTATACGAAATTCCATATTGAATATTGTATAAATAATTGGATTCAATGCAGAATTAATATAACCAAGCCATGTACATGATGACATTAATTTGCCAGCCAAATCACAAATACCATATTGATCTGGTCCTAAATAAATGCATAAACCTAAACCAATATTGATTGAGAAAAATGGTAACCAACAAGCTAGAAATACACCTAGAATAGAAAAAGAAAAATTAAACAGAGAGAGAGAGAGAAAGAGATGAATAAAGTTAGATGATAGTAGTATATTCAATACAATTATCGATCAAAAAACAAATTAAATTGTACGGAAGAGTACTTGTACTCACAAGTGATTGAATTAGAAAGGTAATTTACAGAGTTCTAGAGTTGAATTTGTGGCTGGATGAAGTTCAATCATTCATTATATGAGACAATAGTTAGTTACACGACATCATCCATATTTTCATGATAAATGTGAAATAGTGTGAGTTGATTGAAGTCAAGTCTATAAAATATTAGACGAAGGTTTGATCTTGATTGAAGCTGTTCATGTGAACAAGTGAGGAATCACAAACTATCCTATAAAAATTGTCAAGTGTTTAATGGTTTTTGATGGTTGTCTCACCAATAAAATAATCATATTGACTTTTCAACTGAAGCTGTTTGGAAGTAACTAGTGAAAAGTACTAGGCTTAGATTAAATTGTAGTCTGAACTTATATCACTGCTTATTTATCACTTTTACGTGAGCCGATCCTCTCTTAGGATCTCAAACTTATTGGTTAATAGAGTTTTGATGAGATTTATGAAAACTTCTCAAACAAAACTTTGAATAGTACTTAGCAATCAAACAACTGAACTAAGTTTAGATATGTATTTTGATTTTGAATAATTTTGATCAATGAAATTGATGAAATAAGATTGTACTTCAGATTCGAAATTTCTACTGAAGCTTTTTTAGTTGAATGTATACAAAGTAGACTACGAATTGAGCCCTACTGATGTTTGATAATCCTGTTTTAACATTTATTGTCCACTTAGTCACCAAAAGACTAAGAAGTTGGACGTAAGTGAAACAGCCCTAAAACTTCATACCTTATTTCATTCTATTGAGAATGATTAGGGGAGTCAAGGTAAATGTAGAATCAACAATGGTAGAAAAGACAAACATTGAAAATATAGTTAGTTTGTAGTAGTTTTGTGAAGATCGGTACCATTGGTTAGTAGTATTGATCACAAGTTGATCTTAGTCAGAGTACTATCGCAAATCAGGGAACGTTAGACTGTTGTTTTGTTCAAATACCGAAATCCATATCAGTAGCATCCACGACCCATACTTAACCAAACCTTTAAGCTTTAGATTTCATGACAAACGCTTAACCGTTTCAAATAATTTCCCCGGCGTCAAACAGTACAATGGTGTGAAAACTACTCAAATCAAAGAATATGAAGTTTGAAATAATATTATTACTTGAAACTATTTGTGTCATTGTTAGTCAACTATTGAACATAAGTTCTTGAACAATGGCTAGCAATAATGATGTGGACAGACTAGGGCAGCCAGGAAACGATGTCATCTCTTAGTCTGACCGAACATAGTTTTCTTCCATCGTACCCTTATGGCATCTACTAGCCAATACATCGGTAAAAGTGGCAGTTGGACATATGTGTCACATATTTCAGCCATTAGATTTACTATTCTCTATATGGCGCCCTATGGGTAAATTTGCAATAACTTATTCTATGATTCCAGTGTTGGATGACAAATACCAATAGGTCTTGTCTGTATTACCGTTTTAGTAACATTTTGACGTATTTTATCTTCGGGTGATACATTTCAAAGACATCGATAGGTATAGAGTGAATTGCTCATATACAGACAATAATTTTGTCTCTTCTACAAATTACGCATGTCGACTAAATTCAGTTTCATTCTGTGCTACTATCGAAATTTACTCAACCATTGATCTACCTGGGTCAGTGGAACATCTAGGGTGATTTCACTCGATGCATTAAGATAAGTCACTGATTTCAAAAAATCTCTCAGAGTTAAGGAGATTATTGTTTTTACACATTGAAATCATCAATCAATCATTGTTAGACCACCATTAGAAACCTGGAAGCACTGGACGGCCCGTTTGATCCCGGTATTGGACTCATCAGCAGTGCGTATCCACGACTCCTGCATCCAGCAGGATTCGAACCCAGGACCTTCGGTATTGTGCGCGAACGCCTAGCCATTGAATCTCTTGGCCGTCATCTAACGATGTTAATGTCTAACTCTAATTGAAAATATCATAAAATGTGCTCATTAGTGACTAGCTTCGTGAGGAAATTCACGGAGTTCTATTGAGAAGACGTGACCAGTCTGGTTCAACTCTGTCGGGTATAGACAGTAACTACCGAGGACAAATAGGTGAGGTCGCGCAAAATCTCTAGATCAGTCAGGGTTAGACATTAACGCCATTCCATCCAGGCCCAGTTACCCAGAGGTTAGGCGCTCGCACACAAGACCGAAGGTCCTGGGTTCGAATCCTACGAGGTGCAGGAGTCGTGGATGCACACTGCTGATGAGTCCCATACCAGGACGAGACGGCCAACCTGTGCATCCAGATTTCTACTGGTGGTTTAACAATGATTGGTTGATGAGTTCGATTCAAATAAATATTGCAACAGCATTTTTACTAGGAATATTATATTATGTAACTATCCATCATCATTTCGCATCTATTCAAGCAACATGCTGGTGAGTTGTAAACAAATTCAAACCATCTAATGAATGATGGTCAAATTTCGGATTTTTCTATAGTTTCCAATGATTCTCTACCTCAGTTTAATTGTGTAATTTGACAGAGTCTGCATTTTACGGTTATAGATTCTAATGGTTAACACTGATCTGTTTCTACTGACGTATGCACATTTTCGGGTGAAATGATCATGTTATATATATTAATTCAAGTTCGATATTGATTAGCAGTAGAATCCAATACACAAATTTTTTCTCCCTTTATGATTAGTCAGCTGGATGTACTTGCATTCCAATGTTGCTGATCAGACTGTTACTCAAATTCAATACCTTTTTATTTAAGATGTCAACTTATCATCTAGTATATATGTTTCAAATAGGATGAGATATGCTTCCTGAATTCCACACTCCTAGTCCCCACATATTAGGGATGTTAGATCCCCAAAACTTGCTTGTTAAATGCCTTATTTCTGATTCTACGTTTGCCAGCATGGACTGATCTGTTGACCTTGAGATTTCATTTCCCACCAAGCAAATCCATGACTGTGATTGACTGCTGTGTATTTTAGTGTGCTATTTTCTTAACTGTCCCAAGGATGTTTCTATGCTGTATAAATAAACGAGAGTTGTATGCTAGATTGTACTGTGATTGCTGGGTGTTGTAGAATATGCTTTCTACGCTTACCAAGTCTTCTGTTTTGTAGTTTGGGATTCAAGATAGACTACCTGGACGCTGGTAATTGTCTCGTTTGCGTTTATCGACTAAGCTGAACTCGTAATAGCCTCAAGCATACTTAGTGACGAACCCAATACTATATACAAAAATACTTTTAATGAATCAACTTACCTAATACAATGGCTAGTGTTTTAGTTGCTTTTTTCTCTTTCTGTGAAAGAAGATTTTTACTTTTTAATGAAGTATATTTTGGACTATGATTATTAAATGTTTTCTGTGCTGATTTTCCACTACTCAAATCTAAGTCAATAGGTACAATTGAATTATTTGCAACATTTTTATCATTCTGATTGTTTTGTTGATTTGTATTTCCTATTTTAATGTGAAATGGTTTAAAAAATAGAGTAAACTTTTGTATATTTTGTTTGAATCGATCATTGAACCGGAATAGATATTTACAGAGGGAAGTTTTAAATTGCAATTTGTTCTTATGAGTTGAGTTTAACTTGTTTGTTTTTACAGTTTTGGTGTTATGAAGTTTTTTGTTCTCAGCTGTTTCATTACTGTTATTGACAAACCCATTACCATTAAAATAAGTCATTTTTGTATGATTTTTCAGCTTGATAAATCCATTTCGATTTGAAGGCTTACAAGTGTATTGCAATATAGTAGTGGGTTGACATTTCATACATTCATAAGATTGATCCGAACTAGATTGATACAGTGAACCTGACTTTAATTCATCCCGACAAAATTTACATGAAACTAATTCATCCATTTTACCAGCATCTTCCTCATCATCATTTTCATCGTCGTCATCTTCATCATAATCACCATTATCATCTTCTTCCTCACCACTGTCACTGATTGTTTTACATGTGTAATTCTTGAAAAAGCGATCTTTCATTGATTTAAAACTATAATCTGTAATCTCTTCTGAGCTTTGTCCAGGACATTCACTGACAGGTGGCCAAGAATATTCAGAGTCACTTGATGACGAACTACTGTAGACATGTGAACTATTTAAACAAGAAAAAATCCAAGAAAATGCGAATAAATTTTTAATAGTTGATGTCAATGGGATATGATGGTGACAAGGAGATCTTTGTGAATATGGTAGATTATTTGGATAACACTTAGCAGTAATTTTATTTGGTGAATGTGAACTAAGCTTTTGAAGTGATGATATACAAGGTTTAGAATGGCCTACTGAATTACAAACTTCTACTTCTTGTTGTATCACTGAAGAATTGTGAGTTATCTGTTGCTGTTCTGTCAATGATTTTTCATCTTCAGAATATTTATAAGACAAACTTCTTTTAGGTGATACATAACAATGATTGCCACATTGAAATATAGTCCCAGATTCATCATCGAAATTATTACTATTATTATTATTATTATTATTGTTATTATTATTATTATTATCATCGTCATCATCATCATCATCTTTCGTATGTGGTGATGTTAGTGTTACTTGATTTGAATTGTTTACAATATGTTTTGGTGACTCAAAAGATTTCAATGCATTCAAATCTGTTTCAGATGTAGATAATGCGTTCAAGTTATGATTCATCAAATAGTTATCTGCATTTAAATTTGTGGTCTCAATCTGATTGGTTGAATTGAGATAATCAGTTGGAAGAGGATGAGTCATTGCTATAACTAATCGATCCGAGTTATTTAAATTTGGTGGTGGTATATCAAAACGTGGTCCTTCAAAATTCATATCTGATGAATTCTCATGTGATTCATTGAACAATTCAAATTCCGATGGCGTACATGGACATTTAATTCCAGTTGATTCACTTGTGGATTGTACATGTTCTTTACTTTGTGTATTTGTCGATTCTATAATATTTTTTGAAGAAGATTGTGTTTCTGATAAACTAATTTCATCATTTAGATTAATTATTGTGGTAGTTGTTCGACTATTTAATTTACACGTAGTTTGATCATCATTTAAACAAATACTGTCAGGCAATTGAATAGTAGACAATTCTTGTTGTTCATCATGTGGTTTTGATTGTTGTTGGTGTTGGTGTTGTTGTTGTTTTAACTGTGATTGTTTCATTGATGGCAGAGACTGATGATTTGTCGATTGATTCAATCGTAACGATTTATGTCGTTGTTTAATCAAAGCAAATATACGTTGATAGACTACAATCAATATAATAGCCGGTAAATAGAATGATCCTAATGAGGAACAAATAATGTATAGAGCATTGAATGATTGACAAATAGTTGGATCATGATATGGATTTACATTTAAACCAAAAATTAATGGTACAGCAATTAGAAATGAAACAATCCATACTAAAGCAATAGATATTTGTACACGTAGCATGTTATTATGTTTTGCATAAATGATCGGTTTTGTTACAGCCAAGTATCTAGATTTTTTTTAAATAAAAACAAACAAATCAAACCATTGGTAAATGAATAATTTTAAAATATTAAAGATTCCTAATGTGAAAATTAGAATAACACATTTAAGCGAACGATGCTGTTTTTTCAGTTAGATCGTCATCAGGCTTTATACTCTAATAAACATGAATATTTATGTGAAAATGTTAAATCAATCATAGTAACTTATTATGAGTCAATAATCACAATGAAACTTGAGATCTTGTAACTACACATAATAAGTTTCTATAATTCTTACTACTATTAATAAACCTGCCTTCCTGTCATCAAATTGTACTTTTACCTATTATAAGTAGTTACATAATCTATTTCATTGTAGTTATTAACTCATAAATTGTTTTGACTGATTTTACATTTTCATTTGAATATTCATGCACATTAGAGTATAAAGCTTGATGACGATCTAACTGAAAACATAATTGTTCACATACATGTGTTGTTCTAACCAAATGATTGAAAAAATATTCATAGTTGTCTTTAAAATGTATTTCTCTTATATTCAATCAAAACATAAGTTATTAGATTGATTTATTAACTATCCAAATAAAATGATAGAATAATAATTAAGTTTCCGTTCTGTCAGTTGATTATTGACCAACCAACTAAACTTTTCATCTTACAATTACTGTTGTTTAAATTAAGTTTGAATTCTTTCGTACTCTAGTAATGAATATTGATGTAATAAGTTTTTCCGTGATGATTTGTTTTTGTATCTTTGAATATTACCTTCATTAATTTCTTTGAGTTGTATCACTTAATCAAAGTATTTTATAATGAATCCGGAAGGTCTATCACTTTACATTCAATCATGAAACTACTCTTTCCTTGTAACGCTGATCTATTCGACTAGGTGTATTATACAGGTAGATTGTGAGTGACTACTCTAAGGAAACTTAGATGTAAATAATTGTACGAAAACCGTATGCTTGCTATTCAGCATCACAAATTGACTGGATTAAAAAAAATTTAAACTGTAGAATCTGTATCTAATCGTTTAATAACAATAATGTATGCAACAGGAAAGTGAATGTCATTAATCTGATCATTTGTTAGGTTACAATTGTGAAATATTTAAGGATTCTTAAATAAGAATAGATTAATCAATAAATCTTTTCATTGAGAGTTAAAGGCCGGATGAAAATTGCCTTTCGATTGAAATTAATTCAATGATGTTAGAGGTTTTGTGATGATTGTTGTGTCTGATAGTTTTTGTCATAAACTAACAACTTTAGTTAGTTTATGCATTGAAATCGTAAAAGAACTGAACAAATATTTCATCTTATTATGACGTACTAAATTAGGGAAAATCAGAGCAAAACCGGAAATTTACGTCTATATGTCATATTGAAGAATCCCAGACAAGGACAAAAACAGTTGATTAGTTTCTTGGTTTACAAATGTTTACCAGTTAAGTTAGTGAAAAAAATGCATTAGAATGAGAAAGAGAATAAGAATGATAACATTAAGACATAAGTGTATTCAGCTGATGAGCAAGCAGCCTGGAATTCAAAATTTTATTTTACAGTAGATTTACACCATCCTAATTCATAATTAAAATGTAGTAAAACCTAAAAATGTAAAAATGTAATTGAAGTTTTATAAAGAAACAGACTCAACTGTTTTATAATCCGCTCAAATAAGATTAACCATTATTTTCTAATAAAACAACTTCAACGAAGATATTAGTGATTTAACATTAACTAAGATGTTAATGAATCATGTAGTTATCTGTACTTTTTTTTGTACTTTCACGCTTGTTAATGCTTACAACAGGTATGTATAAATGCAAAACTTTTGCAAAGAATCAGATGCAGGATCTTCGGTGTCATCATGAATATGCACTGTTGGGAAGTCTCATACTAGGAGGAAACAGACGTGCTAATGCTCGCACTGAGACTCGGATGTAGTTTTTTTCAAAATAGGAAGGAATATCCATCCTGAATTACATTTCTATCTACTATTTTTTTAATAAAATAGATTGTAGAAACCCTCTATATTGCAACTTCCCTAAATATTTGGGCTATCTGTATCCTGACATCAGAATATTTCAACAAGCTACCTTTTTTTGCTTGTTTTCAAACGCTAATTAGGTCTATTATTTGCATAGTCTACTCAGGCGCGTATATACATCGCTTTACATGGTACACTTAGGTACAATCGAAGACATCACGATGCCTAGAGCTCTGTGCATTGGAAAAAAAAGAAGCTTGTTTAAAAAAAATATTCTCTGCTCAGAATTTCATATTACACTAAACATCTAATATGCAATAAAGCCATTATTATTATCATTATTAACTTTTCTTCACAAACTAATTTTTCTATTAATTAGAGAATAATTCTCAATGCTTTCGTTTACCCTATCCTTCGCCCACTACATTAGAGACCTTCCTATATTATCTATTTATTTCTAAAATCATTATTTACATAAAATTTACATTTTAAAAAAAGTAGTCCATTGAATAGTTTCTATTTAACACTATAATTTATATATATGTATATAGATACTTACATTAATAGAGTGAATTAAAGTTCAAAACAGTAAATATTAAATGCTAATGTAGAGTAGCTTACTTGGTCACACTTACTCTGCTTCTCACTTATGCGTATTATGTTTATTTATCAAAAGACAACATGATAATCACAGTGAGTGAGAGCGAGTGAGCGAGAGAGAGAGAGAGAGAAAAACAGCGGAAATGTATGTGATAGAGAGAAACAATAAATAAACAATAAAGAACAAGTGAAACTACCCGTACAACAACAACAACAACACCGGAAAGTTGATAACATCGCTTATTCACATTCTGTGTGTGCATTTTTAATACAACCAGAATGTAAACATATATTAAGAAAAGAATTTTACAAATGGAGTAAGTTGTAAATGCTTACACATTAAAATCAACAAACAAATAAACACCAGTCCAATATGAATGGAAAATAGAAGAAGAAGGTTATAACGGATGAGCATGAAAAGCAAATGAAGAAACTAAAAAATAACCGATGGCATTAAAATAGATTTTAACAAAATAGAAACTATTGTTTTCCTGTGTGCGTGCGTTGTTCACTTTCGCTTCAAACAAACTGGAAAAAAATGGCACTAACTTTGAACTGTTGCCTTATTTGGCAAACAACAACATTACCCGGGAGATAATCAAGGAAGATTACATTAGTTAATGTGTTGTTATTTCCTGGATATAATGTATATACATATATACATACATATGGTGTACAAGTTGGCCAACTAAACCAATCCCATTAAAACTGATATGATTTATATAACTTTTTCTTAAAAAAAAACTGAAATACTTATAACTCTATATAACACTGTTTTGTTTTAACTAATCGGTTTAGAACTTTTGTAAACATATCAATTGCATAAAACTAGTTGCCACAATTTTTTTTTCTTTACAGAATTTTTTCTACCATTTTGAGTTTATTATAGTTTTATTTTTTGTACTAATAAATGATGTCATTTGTAAGAATTAGTTGAATAGTAAATATAGAAAATTTTTATCTATCTAATCTGAGTATGAAATTAGTTGTTACATTTTTGGAAACTTTAGATAATGTACAATTTTTGAGTGTGGGTGAGCAACGTATAAATACAGTGTGATTTTGACAGGATACTTTTATTTCAAGCTGTAATTTTTAGCTATGTTCAGGTTTTTTTATGCATCCTGATGTTGGCTTAAACTAGATTGGACATAGTCATAGTGTGGTGCGAGCTACTTATAAGTAGTATATGACGTGAGTGTCAACATAATGTCTGGCAGCAGAAGATGGGGGAAGATCAAGAAAGGAAGAGTTAGAACACGATGGAACTTGTATGAAACGCATGAAAAGTCACAATGGATTGATGCTTTGCAACAGGAACAGTCCAGTTTGATATGATGAACTGATATTTTGCAAATTAACGATTTACGATATGGTTTTCCTATTTTACTGAGTAACTCTGTAATTTTCGTTAAATACAATTCGGTTGCCTTCACCTGTGTTCTCCTTCACTACAATAGTATATGTACGTAACTCCAGCCGCTTAAGGTCAAATCCAGCATTCACAATAAATAAAAAATGGAGAAACGATGAAAAGTACCACATAAAATACATTTGTTGAATATTGAAAACAGTCCTTATCACTTCAGTCTGTATTATAATAGATATAAATTACTTGAGAGTCATAAAATATGATGAAACACCAATTCATAACTTCATAGTTCTCAAGGTTAATGAATTATATTGTCTAGAAGTTGGATAGAATTATTGCAATATCACATTCATTAATGATCATCGTTTACTCATTGCAAGTAAATACCTTGAAAATAAAATATGAAGTTTACATTAAGGGACCATGATCATACCGTCAGTTGAAATCGTCTTGGTGTTTTCTCCAAGATATAGAAGAAATTTTACACTTGTCCAACCAACATCTTATTGGTACATATCAGTGAGAAAGTGTAAAGTTCAGATGTAATAGCGTACCGGTGTTTATCGATAAACAATAGTTTGTCATATGAAACTAGTCAGTGAGGATCATTGTTTCTGTCTGCTTGTATATCCATTTCCAAACTCTCTCTAATATGTGTATATATGTCTTTTTTTGTTATGTTCGTCACTTGGTACGCTTGAAGCTATTACAAGTTCACCTTACTCGATAAACGCAAACGAGACAATTACCAGCGTTCAGGTAGGCTACTTTGAATCCCAAACTGAAAAACAGAAGACTTGGTAAGCGTAGAAAGCATATTCTACAACACCCAGCAATCACAATACAATCAGGCAGACAAATCTCGTTTATTTGTACATCATAGAAACGTCCTTGGTACAGTTACGGAAATAGCACACTAAAATGCACAGCAGTCAATCACAGCGATGGATTTTCCTGGTGGGAAATGAAATCTCAAGGTCGACTGATCAGCCCATGCT